TTTTGTAAAAACCATAGATTTTGAATGCAACTCTGTCTTGTTTAAATTTAATCCGTTTTTCCTACCCATATAAAGAGAAGCTATACAACTGAAATGTTGTGGCACTGCCACTGGACTTAAACAGGGAACTCCACCAATTTTTCAAATTGTTTACATGTCAACAAAATCACTTGAAACTATTTGACATAAAATGCTTAATCCTAGAGAAACTTACCGAAGCAAAAGTGCTTATAGTGGTGGTGATAGGAACCAGATGTCTGAAGAGTCTAAAAGCTCTCTCTCAGAAAATTATTACATGTTATGAAAATGTTATGAATACACAAGAATGATACAAGAAGGGTGTTGTAAGACGAAATGGCCCCCAAAGAAAACTTATAAAACTTATTTTGTCAAATTCTATTTAACCATCAACAGTACATAAATATGAATATGTAAAACTGAAAAGACATGTAGGTTCACTCGTGATTTTGAATAGCAAATAAACTGGCTAGATTTGCATTGTAGACATCAGGATGTCCGGTTCCTATCATCAGCACTTTAAAGAAATCTAAGTCAGTATGTTTCTCTATAAGTGAACTATTTCACATCAAACCACTCTGAATTACTTTGTTTATATATCAACCAGAAATGTTGAAAAAGTGGAGTGGATTCCCCTTAAAGGTTTGGGCAAACTGGGAGAGTGGAGAGGACTCCCAGAATGCTGTGCGCCTCTCTGCAGCCTGTATTTAGTTAAATTTAATGTGCCCAATATTGATGTACAGCTGAAATGCAGTAAATTTCAGTAACTAGTGTGTTTTAAGGGTAATTCACTGTCTGTATGTGGTGCGTAGCTGTTGGTAACCTTCTCCCCATTTCCCCCAAGTGTCACTTTTCTCTCTCCTGGTGCAATAAAGAGCATTTTCATCTATAGCAAACTTCTGATGAATTTCTGAATAAATTTAGTTTAGCTTGAGAAAACGAACTGCTTGTTCATTCATATGAGGGATATATGGAGTTTCGTATGGAGGTTTTACACTTTGTTAAAACAAACCCCATCATTGGGAAGCTGAACTTAGTTGGTTAAAACTAATCCCGTCATGGGGAGACTGTACTTATTCTGGTTAAAACTAACCCCGTCATGGGGACACTGTACTTATTCTGGTTAAAACTAACTCCGTCATGGGGAGACTGTACTTAGTCTGGTTAAAACTAACCCCGTCATGGGGAGACTGTACTTAGTCTGGTTAAAACTAACCCCGTCATGGGGAGACTGTACTTAGTCTGGTTAAAACTAACCCCGTCATGGGGAGACTGTACTTAGTCTGGTTAAAACTAATCCCGTCATGGGGACACTGTACTTAGTCTGGTTAAAACTAACCCCGTCATAGGGGACACTGTACTTAGTCTGGTTAAAACTAACCCCGTCATAGGGGACACTGTACTTAGTCTGGTTAAAACTAACTCCGTCATGGGGAGACTGTACTTATTCTGGTTAAAACTAACCTCGTCATGGGGAGACTGTACTTAGTCTGGTTAAAACTAACCCCGTCATGGGGAGACTGTACTTAGTCTGGTTAAAACTAACCCCGTCGTGGGGAGACTGTACTTAGTCTGGTTAAAACTAACCCTGTCATGGGGAGACTGTACTTAGTCTAGCTAACTCTGTGTGACTCAGTAATATGCTTCAAAATCGTGCTTTATTATAGCAACCAAGACTCAGTATTCAAAATAATGAAAAACAAAACAAAACGTTGATTTCATGGTAGTTGTGTCAAATCTGGAGAAATATCTGTCTGATTGCTGTGAAAATTCCCTGATAATGTCGCTATAGTAATACAAGAAGATGATCAAAAGCACTTTTTACTTGCACCTGTTTAACTGCATACAAAGTTTATGTTTAATTTTACCCTGTGTTGTGTTTTTCCCTGCTCTCTCCTGGTTGAGGTCGCTGGGATTATATGTGTATCTTACATCATGTGTAACATTGCATGTGCATTCATATGTTTGTTCTATATATCAGTGTTGAAGAGACAGGTGAGTCCAGAGGAGCTGCAGAAACCTGGTGGAAAATACCTGAAGAGGACATTCACTGTGAGTACACACACAGTATTCATACACCACACAAACTGAGTCATCTCCTGCTTTTCAACTGTAATCTGAGTTTAATGCCAACTCTAATTCAAAACACTTGAAGGTTTGGATCAGAGTTGGGGATTCCTGTCCAAGCCTTGAAAACAATAAAGCCAAATTAACCACTTTAGGGTTTACATATACGCCACTGCATGCTGAGTCCAAATGTAACCAGTCAGCCAAGACATATTTGGCATCTGAAGTTTGCTGCTTTACTCATGCACTAGAGCTACGAGGCTAATGTAGCTAACAGTTATGGAAACGTTGTTAAGTAATCTCATACGTAAAGGGGAACATTCAGATTTGTATAGGGTTAAGCATGAACCGTATCTCTAAATGCCCTTTATTAAGCCAAGTCAATGCTAACTTATTAATGTTTCAGACTATTTGGCCTCCATTTAAGCAAAACATTTAAAAGTGAAATAGCAAATTAGAATTGGCCAAGATTGGAATTGACAGATTTTTGTATTCGGACAATGTATTGTTTTTATTTTGGCTGATCTGTGTTGCGCATTGTGATGGCCTGGGGCCTGTTCAGGGTGTTTCCTGCCTTCTGTCCAACGAGTGCTGGGATAGGCTTCAGCACCTCCTGTGACCGAGGAGGATAAGCAGCTTAGAAAATGTGTGGGTGTGTGGGTGTGTGTGTGTGTGTGTGTGTGTGTGTGTGTGTGATCTGTTGCAATTTTATGATATAAATAATGTGAGTCTGGTGAGGACTGTATGTGACACATGCTAACTAGCCAGTTGCTTGTCAGCTTCAGTGTAGCATTTTATTTGATTAATGTTGTTTAAATAGGCAACTGCTTCAAAATAAAAAAATGGCTCATTAAAAAGCAAATAATTTTGTTTATAGTGGAAGTTTGGCTAATAAAAGTACTGGAAATGTGCTGTCGTGTTTCAGGTATTCATTCAAAAAATCAGCCAATTTGGCTGGAAAGAAATTGGAATCAGAACTGACCATAAAAAAATCATGACCAGTGCATCCCTCCCTTTAATAGCTGCGTTTAATTTTTCGGCCAACGAGGCCAAAATGTTGGCATCGACTCATCAGCTGACAGGACATGGCTCAATAATTGATTCATTATTGACATGGATACATTTTCTAATGAGCTGAGGAGTTTTTAGAGCACCACAACGATAATTTGGCTTCAACTTTAACTGTTGGTCACTGTATGAAATACTATTTTCTTTAAAAGTGGTCAACAGTACATTGCATAGCTAAATTAGTACCCATCTTAAAGAGTTTTTAACTCTTAACATAACTCATAACAATATGTCATACATGCGATTTGAGGCAAACGTGATGATTTAGGTGTGTAGTTTGCACACTGCTAATTAGTGGGCTGTAAACATCCATTACTGTTAGCAACATTAGCCTCAAAACTGCATTGCAAAGCTAAAGAAGCCAACTTCAGACACTCAACATGCATGGCTGATGAACTACACTGGGAAAAGACTGTGTAAATTTGTATTTTTCTATGTCTGCGTGTGTGTAGATTGTTGGTGATGCGGTGGGCTGGGGGTTTGTCGTGAGGGGCAGTAGTCCATGTCACATTCAGGCTGTTGATCCCAGCGGACCTGCGGCTGCTGTTGGAATTAAGGTGAGAAACATTGCACTCTGACATATGTAGTTTGGTAAAAAGAAAAAAAAGTTGCAATGCTTCAAGGACAGGGCTGGTCAGTGGGTTATTGAGGTTGCCACCATGTTTCTAATGGCATTGACTTTCATGATAAGATATTTCCATGGCACCTTTAACACAGGTCACTCTTATGACCAGTTATACAACTTCCTCTGAATCAGTATGTGATATAAATACACTGCAAAAAATAACAGTGTTTTAACATACAGAGTTAGTCACCAGGCTGCCTTAAAATATTGAGTTAACTGAATTTCAAATAAGTTGACAGAGCACAAGACACAAATTCTTGTTCCCTTAACTTGCTACTAGAAACGTAATTAGCTCAAAATTTTAACTCACCCTGTGTTTTTAAGGTAAAACACCATTCTTGTGCAGTGTAGGGCTGCTTCTTTAAATAACAATCTGCTCAGACCAACAGCACATTAAGTCATTATTTAACTTGACCTTCGCGTGTATTATACTATAGATAAGGGCCGGTGTGACGAAGGCAGTTTTACTGCCACTATAGCTCTGAATAACATCAATAGAACTTTCTATCAGAACATCACATCTGATATCTCAGCCCACTCTGCCATTAGAGCTTCAATCCAGGCTGAACTTTGTGATATTCCTTAATATAATTTGATCAAAGTTCATGAAGATCCAAATGACGAATGTAAATCTGGGTAACGTGTGTGTTTGCTTGTGTTCAGGTGTGTCAGTTTGTAGTGTCTGTAAATGGCATAAATGTGTTGGAGATGGACTATCGGACGGTCAGTCACCTTATCCTCACTGGACCACGCACTGTTGTGATGGAGGTGATGGAGCCAGTTGACTGCTGAGGACGCCATTGAAGGAAATACTCTAAAACGCCAAATGCAAGGTATTCTGAGACCAATTGTCTCTCTAGCTCAGAGTTCACCAAGCCTGGTCTTGGAGATCTGGCTTCCTGCAGAGTTTAGTCCCAACCACAGTCTGCCACACCTGCTCCAGATCTTTAAAGAGGAATGTCAACCTTTCTGCATCATGGTAACAAAGTCAGTGAAGTGGTTTAATGCGAAATGCTCTGTTCTAAAGAGACTTGCTGGCTCTGATTGCTTTTCCAAAGGTAATGAGACGAACCAAGGGTCAGAACATCTGCAATGCAAATATAGCCATTTCATTTATCATCCAGAATGACTAGTAAAGCTACACAACATGTTTTCTTGGGGGATATTTTGGGTTAGAACACTTTACATGTACCCATTCCATGAATGCATTTTAGGCCAAAACATTTACCTCATAACTGTGATAAAATCATGTTTGTGGTGGTTTCTATCACCACAACTGTGAATGAACTTAAAGTTTCTCCAAAATGGAGCATTTCATACCAAACCACTCGGACTGGCTTTGTTTAAACTCTGCATTAACGTAGATCTCCAGGGCCAGGATTGGTGACCACTGGTCTAGATCACATGCAGGATTTGCACAGTAATAAAGGAGGTTCTTGGACTTGCAGGCCAGTGTCAGAATATCTCACTATCATAGAATTAGAATCAATAGAAGAGCCCAATAACTAAAACTGTGCCCTAGAATAAGCTCTTATGTGTAAAGGTGACAGTCATGGTCTTTACAGAGAGACCCTGAGGGTTTGCTTTGACTGTGGAAAATGATGTCTTGTAAAGTCAGCATAAATCTATGTCATAATCAATATTTCAGACTTGATGTAAGAATATTATAAGATTACTACATGGGTTTTATGGGCAGGTCATTTTGCTTGTTTTAGGTATTATTTCTTCAAATATGCTAAATTAAATAAATGCTGGGAACACTTTACTTGAACTCTCCTGCATAACACTGACATAATAATTCCATAAACATGACGGCATATGATGTCAGTGTTCTGTAGCAGAGTTCAAGTAAAGTGTTAACCCTCCTCCACCTCCAAAAACAAGTTGTGTAATCTTATCAACACCAATCAACAGTCTTACAACATGAAATATTAGATATGTTGACCAGATCTAAGATGACTTCACTTGCCAAGACATTATTGTGTTGCAGTGAGCTGGAAAGTGAACAGTGAGCTACTTGCTTATCGTCGCTGTTGTGACAAAATCTTGTACCTTTGAAATGAAAACTTCATCAGAGAAGGGAGAATTGCTTAACTTATCATAATATACAAGATTATAATCAGAATTTGGACCATTTTTATTGTTCCATTCATCATGATTTTTTCACACAATGTAAATGACAGTCTGCATTTTCAAGAGATGAAAAATGAAGCTGCAAGGTTTGGATATGTAAGTGATGATATACTGTAAGCAACACTGAATGGTCAATATTCGTCCTTTGTTTATAGCTGTAGACAAAATATAGTCATATGCAAAAGTCTAAACGCCATCTGGTCAAACTGTGTGTTTTGTTGATTTTCTGATTGAAAACACAAAAAATTACACTGTTTTAACTTTTAAAATTAGATTTATTTTGCTGAGTTTAAAGCAGGGGTGTCCAATCTTATCCGCAAAGGGCCGGTGTGGATGCAGGTTTTCGTGCTAACAAGACCTGATTTCACTTGCTTAATCGGTCAGTTTCAATCTTTAATCAGCTGATCTGCTTTGTCGCAATGAAAACCTGCAGCCAAACTGGCCTTTTGAGGATAAGATTGGACACTCCTGCTTCAAAGTATCGGAAAACATAAACGTGTCATAACTTTAGCACAAGCCAATATGTTAAATCCAGCAAATAAACAGTACTTGTGCAATAAAATACAGAATTGTGTTCTTTGTAGACGATGTGTTCACTAATTTTGACTTATATCAACAAAACATTGTTTGACTGGGTGCACAAACTTAACTGGGCATACAACTGTAAAAGGGTCTTAGTATCTACTGTCCAGTACAACACTGACCAATAAGCTCACCTTTTTGAAGAAGATATGCTAAAAAAAACCTTTAGCAGTTTCTTTAGAGAGAGAACTCACAATATAAGAGAAGTATCATTCTTTTGATTTGAGCTATGGATTTCTTTTTTCTTTCCCTTTTACCTGAGAGCACTGTGTTTTATTCCGCTGTGCCGTGGTGCCCGCTGACCACTCTTCTGTTCATGTCAAGCTCAGGTCACTCACACGCCACTGGGCAGACGAAAGCAGCAAGTCCATTTTCCCTTTATCTTCATCTCTCTGTTACAGTGGCATTAAATCTCCCAAAACCTCTTTAATGATCCAGTTTTTACTTTTTTTAGCAGCTCTGGAATGAAGTTATCAGCTTTAATTCTTAACAATGCATATTTGTGACATTGTTTAAAAACAAAAAGCTTAGTAATGCTGAAAATCAATAGACATCTGCAAATCTGTGAATGATTATGGTATGTGCTTGTACTCATGATGTAGACTTAACGAAGCGGTTTGATGTGTTTTTGTGTTGTAGCATTGCACTTCTATGTAATTGTGTGTCTTTAGCGTTCAGTCACGCCACTGACAATTCATTACTGCATCATTTCTGATGTCGGGTGTTATGGAAGACATTCTATTAACTTTGTGATTTTTGTCATTAGCTTTGAATTATCATTCAATTTGTTGTATAATCTATATACAAACATCATGTATCAAGAAGCATTTTTGTCTCTGTATGCACTTAAAATAAATGTCTTTTTAAAAATATTTTCATCGTCTCCATTCTTGTACCATTTTATTTTATTAAGACTTTAATATGGTATGTAAACAAGTTTTAAAGCTCCTGCTTTAATTAAACCCTGAGAAATAAAATCATGTCCTGCCCATGATTATTTCCCACCCGAGGATTCATGCTAAGGAAGAAAAATATGCTCTGATTTCCTGATTTTCGCTTTGTGTTGACTTAAAGAAAACGTAGGCTGAATTTTAAATGGCTAAGTAGTGCACTATGTAGGTCATGAAATGGCTTCTACAGCCAAATAGTGCATTATATGTATAATAGAAAGACATTCACCCATTAGCTGCACGATGCTCTAATTCACAATTATAGCACCACTTGGGTGTAGAACCCAAAGTATCTTGACCTATTCGATGCATTTTATAGGGAGTAAGATTCACCAGTAGTCAACAATTTTGTCAACAGAGGATCAGGATCTTGAAAAATGAAAATGGTCAATGTTAATATTTCACAATAAATCTGAAAACCCCTAATAAAAACATCTTTCTAATTATATAGAAAATGAACATTTATGAATTATATCTGTTTTTGATACATAAAACCAACCACCATAAGTGGCCTTATAAAAATGTGGAACATAGGCCTTTTTGGTCTCCATTGAGAAAACAATCTCTGAATCTCTGAATGTTTGGTTTGAGTAAAATAGAGCTCAAAATAAAGGTGGAAGTGTGTGTTAGTATTTTTGATGAACGTCATTAGAAATATGCTGTGTGCATTTTGCTTTAGCTCATGTGTGTGTGGCATAGTGCATAATTACAGTACTACAATACTGGAGTTGTTGGTGTACTGTAGGACTATAAACACTAGATGGCAGTATAGGCTACAATTTTATTCACCATCTTTTTTCATGGCACAAGCAAGGTAAGTCACCGGAGCTTTCCTATTCACTGTTACAGAATCATATTACAAAAACTCTAAACTCAGTGAACATAATAATATTATGTTATATTGCTGTTGTCGGAACAAATCCTCATATCTCCAAAATGAGAACTTCAAAGGAGAAGGAAAAAATATACTTTACTTTTAATATAAGTCAAGGGAACTAAACTTTTTTTCCAGGTAATGTTGGGTCGTTCTGTTGGTCCATTCATCATGAAATTTACACACAATGTAAAGAACAAATTATGTCAAAAAACTGAAAAATGACAAAAATGGAGTTACAAGGTTTTATTCTGACAGCAGCGAAATGTTTGTGTCAAAATGTCACTTAGATGATTTAAAATCATGTTTCCTGTTTTATTGAACAAGACTTTTATTACTGTTTTATTACTGAAGTTTGTAAAAAAAACCATATTTATATAAAATAATGATAATTTTTATTAATAATTGGAATCAATAATAGTTCAAAAATTCTTAATATAGTGTATTTTAAGTATGTGGACAAAAGTATTGTAGCTTTCGTGGCTATTAATAAAGACACAGCTTTTGCACAAGTCGTTGTGCTTTATTAACCAGCTGTTGTTGACCAAAGTTGTACTGGCTGTATGGCCAGCATTTGGGTCCGTTATTTCATCTCCTCTGCCCATGCCAGCTTTGGTGACTCACTTGACTCCTCCGCAGCTTTGACTGCAGGACTGGTAACATCACTGCACCATGCAGCTGCTGACAACACCATTTCTCTCTCCAGCACCTTCTCCAGGGCCTCTTGCAAGTCGTGTGGGCGGGCAAGCTCTGTGTGGTTGCACAGCTCAGTTGGAGACCTCAGTTGATGAACTGGTCTTGGGCTGTCTCGCCCGTACAGGTGCCTGTGAGCATAAGCCCGTCTAGCTAAAGTTTCAATAGCGTTAGCTTAGGCTTTTAATGGCTCTCCTGCCTGTCTTCAGCAGCTACACAGTTCAGATAGAAGGAGTTTGGACAAACTGTTGTAACAAAGTTGGAAGCATGCAATTGTCCCACTGTAATTGTACCCTTTAGTGGAACGTAGGGGCCCAAACCCTGAAAAACACCCAGACCATTATCCCTCCTCCACCAATCTTTACTGTTGGCATTATGAAAGGTAATGTTTCCACTACTCCAGTGTTCAATGCCGGCGTGCTTTACACCACTCTAACCAATGCTTGGCTTTGAACACAGTGATCTTAGACTTGTGTGCAGCTGCTCAGCCATGAAGACCCTTTTCAGGAAGCTCCAGATGCATGGTTCTTGTGCTGATGTTGCTTCTAGAGACAGTTTAGAACTCTGCAGGAAATGATGCAAAAGAGGAGATGGGATTTTTACAGCACTTCAGCACTCAGTGGCCCCTGTCTGTGAGTTTGCATGGTCTATCTCTTTATAGCTGAGCTGCTGTTGCTCCTAGACACTTCCATTTCACAATAATTGCACTTGCAGTTGACCGGAGTAGAAATTTCTTGTACTGACTTGTGGCAAAGTGATTTTCTATGACAGTGTCGTATTAAAAATCACTGAGCTCTTCAGTACAACTCTTTTTACAGCCAAATGTGTGTGAATATATATATATACACACATTGTTGTTGTCATCATTTTTGACGTTTTTCAGTTTTTGACATAATTTGAAAATACCCGTTACCCTTTACAATGTATGTAGATTTCACGATGAATGGACTAAAAGAAATAGCCCAAAATGAACTGGAAAAAAATCTGGTTCCATTGACTTACATTAAATGTAAAGTATGTTTTTTCCTTCTCCTGCAAAGTTACCATTTTGGAGATACAAGGTTTTCTTCCGACAATGGCGATATACTTACAGAAAACACACGATAGTAATTCTCTTTTGTACTCAGTTACACTTTAGAAAATAACATTTAGTTTCTACTTCCTCTTTTGGATTTAATTTCATTCTGTAGTTTCAGCTCCTGCTGTGGCTCACGCTGATCACTTCGGAGCTTTAGCTCTTTATTTTACACAAAAAGCATCCAAAAAGTGAAAAACAGCACCTAACAATCTTTAATTCTTACTGAAAGACAGTGGATGCACTAAGTGCTGCTGCAGTATTTGATCTGCTTACTAATATAATATATTATATATTATGTTGTATATTAATATATTAATATGAATATATCCATATATTTACACTCTATGCTAAATAAGTGAGGGGCAGACTGAGGGTGTGTCTTTGAAGAGGTCAAAAGTTAAAGGTTAAGAAGGGTCAGGTTTACATTTTAACCTGCAGCAGCTTTTTATGATTGTAAACTGCAACAGTTTGGAACTTAGATAAGTTAGACAAACAAAGGTTGAGGCTTGTTTTCTCTCCATGTTGCTGTTCTATATACTATGAGTTATCTGTCATAACTGTATACCATAAACTATAGAGTACTGTGAAAAAGCCAAACACCACTCTTTTATTATTCATTATTTTACACTAATACATTATCTTAAAAAAGTAGAAAACCTGTATTTGGTCTGACAGTGGATGTGTTTGTGCAGTGGTGTAAGGATTCATTCCTTCAGCTCAACATTGATCAAACTAAAGAGATCGATTTTAGGCGAGAGAATAAGGCTATTTATTCTACAGTGATCAATGGCATCACAGTTGATAGAGTAAACATCTGCGAGTATCTTGGCACAGTAATCGATGATCGAAACAAATAAGTTCTTCAAGAAATGTCAGCAAGGATCGTTTTTTTGAGGGAACTCGGCAGGTTTTAGATGCACTCAGAGCTTATGATATTTGCATTTGCTTGCTGGTTTGAAAGTTTGAGCATTAGGAATAAGAAGCTACTCAACAAGCATCCTTTTTACAATTCTTTCAGAAGCAAACCTTGAACAAGGCTGAACTAATTACTGTAACAGAAGATACAAAGCTGGTTTCAACTTCCTCCATCAGACTCTCGCTACAGACTCCCAGAGATACACCGTAATGGATTTACTCTTTTATCCTAAGTGTAATTGTGTTGCTGAATAAGAGGGATACGTTGTTATATGAGAGGGCCAAGTGGATGTTATATCTTCTCTTTGTTCTCTGTTTGTCTTGTTTTTTAGAATTTGTCTTTTTACTGTATTGTTTTAGGGCCTGTTTTGAATTCAGTGTGGATTGTTGTATTCTGTGGATGGAAGAATGTAAGAACAAATCAATTTTCTTCTTAGATAACAATGAAAACTGAACTGAACATTCTTTCCAGGAGACTTGCTTTCAGTTTTTCAATGAAATTTGCAGGGATTTTTTTTCCAACCCAAGTAATGCAAAACCCATTCAGTGATGTTGAAGCCTGGACTCTGGGGTGGTCAGTCCATTGTTCAGCTTCTTTGATGTGTCTTCTTTTCTCAGTGAGGTTCTTCTTGACAGCTACACATCCTTTCAGACCCATAGCGCTGAGTTGTCTTCTCACAGTGGAAGGATGGACAGAAACACCTGTGGATGTTTTCAGATCTGAAGCAGCTTGATTTTCTCCTCTCTCTCAGAGATGAAAGCTTTAAGTGCTGTTTATCTGATGAGGACAGTGCTGGTGGTCTACCAGGCGTCCCGTTTGTTCTTTGTCTTTATTTTTCCCAATTTCATCCCATATTCAGATGTATCCAGTTCCACCCACTAGTTAGGACTCCCCCAATCACACGATACCACCAGCACTAGGAGGGCAAAAGCTAGTACAGGCTTCCTCCGAGACCTGTGAAGCGGCACTGCATCTTTTTGAACCGCCACTAACACAATGTCATTGGACAGCTGGACGCGCTTGCAGGAAACCACAAACCGCCAGATCTGTTATGTCAGCTAACAGATGCCTGCACTGGCTAGCATCTGGGTGATAGAGAGAGACGGGGGGCATCCTACCCACCCAGAAAGAGCTGACTGTGCTGTCTTGGATTCTCGGCCACCGATGGCTTTAGCATCATCAGGGATCAAACGCATTATCTCCTGATATCAGGGCCAATGCATAGATGGTTGTACCACTCAGGAGCCCCCTCTCTGTATATTTTAATCAATTTTAAACTCCAGTTCTGGAACCTCACAGTCTACATAAATAAATTGTACTTAATGACTTAAGGGTGGTCTCTGAGTTTTGCATACTACTGT